CTGGTGGACATCCGATACCGCAACAAGTACATTCGGTAATTTAAAAAAACGTATTTCTTGGATGTAGTTGATCGACAATCGCCCTAGAGCGAGCTTGTTGGCGTCTGCATTCACAAAAGCAATGCCAATTCCATGCAATGGAAGCTGTCGAAACAGAGAATCGCTCTCGTGTCAAGTCCCGCAGCCACTCGCGACAAGCAGTGTCTTCCTCGGGCGCAAGAGAAGTCAGGCCATCTTCTGAAAGCGCGCAGCGCGTATGAACTCACGCTCGTGACCACACACGCTGCAACACGTTGCTCGTTCATGACCGCATGCGGTCACGAGCGAGCAACGTGTTGCAGCGTGTCAGCCGGTGGCTATTTGACGCGGCACCATAATCTCTCTATACAGGGAGAGCGCACGGCACCGCGTCACAAAGCTACGCGCTGTAACGCGGTAACACGTGCATGTGGTCAGACCTTTATTGTCACAGCCGGTCACCTCGTCTCCACCACTGTTACATATTCGGTGGCAGGACGACCATTTTTTTTAACGTCGTGGTAAGCGCGCTTCAATTTCAATGGGAACCTTCAATTTCAATGGGAAATTAGATTCCGGCAAAAAGACCGAGTTGCGCGTTCCCGATTGCTGTGGAGATTAATGCGAGTTAACTGCACGACTTGCGGGAACACTGTCGCAGGGCAAGTAAGTGTTAGCATGTATTTGTTGTCCGCCGCTTTTTCTGGTAAAGGCCCTACAATGTCGACTACTAATCTGTGAAAAGGTTCATCAATCAAAGGCCTTTGGACGAAAGGTGATTTGGCTTTCGTTTGACCGTACCGTCCTTTTGCAAACACTGCGGGAGCGCACCGAGTTTGATGACCGATATGTTAGGTTTAACGTCCCCAAACCACCATATATTCATGAGAGACGCCGTAGTGGAGGGCTCCGCTGATTTTGACCACCTGAGGTTTTTTGACGCGCACACACATCTGAGCACACGGGCCTACAGCATTCTCGCCTTCATCGAAAATGCAGCCGCCACAGCCGTGATTCGATCCCGCGACCTGCGAGTCAGCCCAGCAGGCGAGTACCTTAGCCACTAGACTCGACCGCGGCGGGGCTGGAACGCACCGATTGCTCAGATTCTTTGGAGCACATGGGCCAGTAATGGTCGTCCAATAATCAGCTCCGCTGGTCATTTAAGAATCGACAAGAGCAATCACTGAACAAAACCCCAAAAGTGACACACGATATTTTTTGGAACAAGAAGCTGCTCAAAAAAAGAAAAAGCTTTTCTTGTTTTTGTACGTTCTGTACAAAAAGCAGCCTTTCACTAAGAACGACACTGATCCTTTGTTTGTCTTAATATTCCTAGCACGTTTCCATTGACTCGCCGTTGGCCGGCTTTATTTTGAGAGCGCTTTTGTCTACTTTGGCAAGAGGTTGAACATTTTCCCTGACTGGGCTTATCACTTCGCCTCAGAGATCACGCAAGGATAGTGCCGTTACTAGCGGCTGGGGTAACCGGAAGTTTCGCTTGTTGTGGCAGCTTCTGGCGGTTCCCTTCGGTGTGAAATTTGGGCGGCAACAGTAGTGCCATTATTTTGCGCTCTTGTGTGGGGAATGCGTGACGAACATTACAGTGTTGACACTAAGTTGCATTCCTGCACTTCGCAAGTCTCATGCTGTTAAAAAAAAAAGTCCGAGGGAGCTTCCCGGAAACAGCAGCATCAGTTACAAGTTTGTCAAAGGCGCCTTGATTGATTGATTTGTGGGGTTTAACGTCCCAAAACCACCATTTGATTATGAGAGACGCCGTAGTGGAGGGCTCCGGAAATTTCGACCACCTGGGGTTCTTTAACGTGCACCCAAATCTGAGCACACGGGCTGTCGAAGGCGCCTGTCATTTAGACTCTGGCTACTGGTAAGCACTTCGTGTCGGGTTATAATGCTTGACGCACGTCTTTCGTCTACATTTGCGGTGTAACATGCAGATTTGGAACCAATCTCTTTTTTTTTATGTGCCAGCCTGCACTTTCGCTCCCTTCAACTGCACGAAGACCGGAACGCCAGCAAAATCGCAAGGTGTCGCTTTTGCAGGCGCCGCGAAGCATCGAGTGGTATCGCGACAAAATGTCTAACAAAATATCTATCTCGTAGTGGCAGTGAACAATGCGCTTCCCTTCTGCGCCTTGGTTCCAGACGCTCCGCGGTGGCGAGAGCAGGCACATTCAGTTTTTTTCTTTTAGGGGCGAAGCTTCTTAAGGCGTGGGCTGTGCGTCCCCTGTATGTAGCCACCTCTCGTTTAGTTCTTGCAGTGTCCACTAGATGGCGGTACCGTCTCCTGTATGTCGCCTCCTCTCGTTTAGTTCTTGCAGTGTTCACTAGATGGCGGCACCGTCTCCTGCATGTAGCCACCTCTCGTTTAGTTCTTTCAGTGCTCACTAGATAGCGGGACTTGTAGCTGATGATGAAAAGATGCAAGATGTTATAAACTAGACGGCGGTACTTGTAATTGATGATGAAAGATGCGAGATGTTATAAAATAGGAATGTCACATATGGCACGTGTCATTGGTGGAAGGCAATCGTTCGATTTAGTGCGGCGACGTACGCTAGGGGGAGCATTGTAATAAAATATAGTAGGCAAATTGTACGGAAGATTCATGGTTTACCAGGTTTTCCTCCAGAGCTTCGCCCACCCATCATCATTCACTTCGTGGATATGGCGGCACTTTTTTTTTAATTGACACGAGCGATAAGATTTCCGAGCAGTGCCGCCTCTTGGCGAAGCTTCCATATCCTTGTTTCCGCCACCTTGGAACGTCTGGAACGAAGGCCAGGAAGTGGAGTGCACCGAGCACTGCCACTACACGTTAGTACGTATCTCTAACGAAACTCGCGATATTATCACTCGATGCTTCCTGGGCGCCTGCAAAAGTGACACCTTGCGATTTTTCTGGCGTTGCGGTGTGCACGCAGTTGAAGGGAGCGAAAACGCAGGCTGGCAAATAAACAAAAAAAAAGGATTCTAGAGCTTCTCTGGTAGTCGGGATAAGAGGAGGCGTCGTCGTGCTGTTCGTGACCCGCTCCTGTGACCTCCACAATTTTGATCGCCACAGTCCCTTTGTCCCAGCAACCAATGCATCTATAAACAGATTTCAGCCAGCATTTAGAGAAGGTGTGAGGAAGTGTGGAAGTCTTGTGCGAGGAAGTACTTTAACACGACATATAATACCGATTAACGGGTGATAATCAGGTACCTCAAGTAAAAAAGAATACAAGTTAGCATTAGGAGTTTGAGAGATTATTCTTCAGTAAGAAGAGCGTATGATCACAGTGATGGTAAAGTAACTACGGTAGCTTTTATGGTTATGGAAAAAAATTTACCCTAAAATTCACCCTAAAATACATGGCGGGATAGGGTTTTCCCTGTTTCCCTAACATTAATGTGCTTCTTTTTGAAATATCACAAGTCGTCAAAGAAAAAAAAAGCGAATTTGTGGTTTGCAGTCTGACATGCGTGTTCACCTAGTGAGAGAGTGCACAACTTGTATGACTGAAAATTTTGTGTGGACAATGCTTTCAGAGCATTATGACATAATTTTACTTGGTATGATTGCTAAATAACCTACAAAATACTACATAACAAGCTAATTGTATGGTTCACACAAAAAAATGGCACTATAAGTTTCAGGTTCATAGAGGGTGGATGGTCTAACGATTTTTTGCTCCTATTTTTGAAAGAGACTGCGTAGATGGAAGCTTTATACAGCGAAATGATGGGCAATAAATTGCACATTTAATAGAAAACAAAAAAAAAACGTCATGAAGCAAAAATCTGATTTTTTTTTTCGCTTGGCTTCGTACCCTGAGTGCATCGCACTAAAAAAAAAAAAAAGAATGAGTTGCGTTGGCTGCCATCGGGCTGACTTTCAGCAAGTTATATGGCAGAAAAAAAAGCAAACCGAGAGCAACATTTGCTCTCAGTATAGTCAAATAAAAGTTAATATATATATAAGCAAGAATATTTCGAATATCATAGAGTCCCGCGTCGCAACTCACGTACGGCCAGCGGCGAGCAGCTTCTGCAAGTGAAGCTTCTATTGAAGTTGCATGTGGCGCCACCTATCGCATGCAACGCCAACTGCGTCATAGGAGCAGCGGAGCTTGACTGTCGTAATCACTCACATCAGCGTCCGGAATTGTCGCGATTGCGTCGGCAGCCTCATTCGGCAGTGATGTCAACGTTAGTTGCGACCAAGTATCTTTTGCAAGGGCTGCTTTTTTTAGTTGCGACCAAGTATCTTTTGCAAGGGCTGCTTTAATATACGTTCTCTCAAAGTTCACGAGATACGAAGTGATGCGATAGCCTGCCTTGAAAGATAGCACGTATCCGCGCATGTCATAACTGTCATTGCGTTCTAAGTTATGCAGATGCATCTCTTTTAGTTTCACTTCTCTTTCTCGAAGCAGTTCAGAGACTGCCTTCCAGCGCTCTTCAATTCCGCTGCAGTCTTCTGCTGCGCACATGCGTATTGATGTGTTTATTGATTTAATAATTTCAACCCGCCACGGTGGTCTAGTGGCTAAGGCACTCAGCTGCTGACCGGCAGGTCGCAGGATCGAATTTCGGGCGCGAAAGCCACATTTTCTACTGAGGCGAAAATTCTTGAAGCCCGTCCGCTTAGATTTAGCTGCACCAAGGAACCCCACGTGGTCGAAAATTCCAAAGTCTCCCACTACGGCGTCTCTCATAATCGTATGGTGGTTGTTGGACGAGAAATCTCACGAATTCGACAATTTGAGGCTTCCGCATCGACTTCTGCACAGAGCTACCCAACTCTTCACCTAGTAACACTAGGTTTGTTGTCGTAGACGCAAACATCAAGAGTGCTGTTAACAAGTGGCACTCTGATATCTACTACTTATAATTAGCAATGTCATCATCAAGTAAGCTAGACTACAAAGCAAATGCTGCTAATTCTCCCTATGAAGTCAAGAAAGCCGCGCTCTCACCAAACCGAATTCGATGCCAAGGCCACCCAAGCAGATGCGCACTCCGTACCGCCATCCCTGCTGCCATCGGCTGTTGCGTATCCAGCGGCTGGACGACCGCCGCTCCAAGAGACGACGCACGAAGTGCCGAGAAGACGAATTCCACCTTACTAATCTTGCGCCGCGTTTTTGTGCGCTACACAGCCAATCGGAGGTTGGCAGGACAAAAAACAAACAAACAAAAACGACAAAAAAAAACACACAAGATAATCCAGCAAGCAGGGCAATCTTATCTGATGACCCCAACGCAGAATGCGGCAAGCACCGCGAACGTTACGCCGTCCATTTCCTAGCGCCCAGCACGGTCATTGAATAAAGAACCAGTTTAGATACGGAAACTGAAGCTTTGACATCGGTGCGAAAGATAAGCAGTGGCAGCGCAGGAACTACCGAGGGCACCCAAGAGATGGCGCTGCGCAAACAAGAAGCGGAAAGCAAAAGATCTTTTTTTTTTTGTGTTAGGTAGAAAAAAAACGGCTGGTATTTTTATTCTGTTCTGGGTGCGCATGCGCATAGGCGGGTGTCTCTGCTGATTCTTCCTTCTATATGACCATCCGTTTTTAAACTGAAGAGAACGAAAGAAGCCGGGACTAGCATAGGGCTATGGGTGTCTCGTTATCTTTTTTTTTTTTCACCCGCCTGTTTTAAGCGCGTCGATACGCCCAGCAGCTCGCCAAAGCACCCTTTGGAACGCAGTATCTGTGCGTACGAAGGTTACATGGAACCGAAAAGCATACATTGGCCACTGGCACCTGTAAGAGAAAAAAAAAAAAAAAAAACACCAGGCCTGTGCGAAAGGCACACCACAGTCACAGCGAAAGCTAGAAGAGCGGCCTTTCAAAACACTCATTGAGTAACTACTGCAAGCACGCTTGCTTGATACCCACTAGAGCATTAATAATGAAATTTTTTTGGGTAATAGGCCAGCATTTGCTATGCTATTTTTTGTCATTCTTCTGAGAAGCATCGTATCCACTAAACACTTGCAAGGGATTTTCCGCCAATTGTTCATGCAGTGGCTGATGACGATTAGGAATTATGGCCGAAGTGGGTATGCGCCACAGTTTACAGGAGAACAAAAACAAGCTTTTGTGATGATAGGTTGGAGCATTGGACGACCAACTCGTTACGCTATTCGCATTGTGCTACGACTGGTTGTTCTTTCGCTGCTTTAAAACGCTTTATTAGTCGCATTAACGCGATTGCTTTCCCGACATCAAGCTTGGCTAAGGCAAGTTTGCAAAGAAGTCCCAAGCACCGGTGTGGCTCAGTAGCATAACACTAGGCTGGCACCCAGTGTGGACCCGGGTTCGAGCTTCACTCTGCCATGCCAATAGCGTAACGATCGATTGATTGATTTGTGGGGTTTAACGTCCCAAAACCACCATTTGATTCTGAGAGACGCCGTAGTGGAGGGATCCGGAAATTTTGACCACCTGGGGTTCTTTAACGTGCACCCAAATCTGAGCACACGGGCCTACAGCATTTTAGCCTGCATCGAAAATGCGGCCGGTATTCAATCCCGTCACCTGCGAGTCAGCAGCCAAGTACCTTAGCCCCTAGACCACCACGGTGGGGCCCGAGGACACAAGGAGGTTGGGTTTTTCGCAAGGAAATCAAGCTGGAGTGAAAGTCTAGCGAAATGCGAGCATTCGAAGACGCGTAGGATCAGTGCAACTGTAGTATACGTAGTGTACGTAAATACACGACACTGACAGTGCCAACAAGGCCTCAGAAAATCACCGACAGAAAACAGATATGTGAGCGGTGGCAAAATGAATCTATACCTGTTATAGCCGTGGAGCCTGCAGAAATCGATGCCTTCGCCGGTGTGACAGCTCCTGCGCACCATACAGCACGGTAGAGCGACTACATAAAATAACTACAGTGGCTTACACGAGCGAATAAAACAAAATGCTACAAAGAAATTGGAACGCCGAGGACCAGGCCAACCATTGGATGGGAACTAACTGCACGTCAGCTGCTCCCGCCGCACAGTGGCGGTGCAGGTTTTCCGCTTCGTCACTGATAAAAGAATCTAGAGTAGAAATCACAAGGCAGGCCGACGATGTTGACTGTATCACCGTATGCTGAATATTAGGGGCGAAGCTCCTTAGGGCGTGGGCTGTGCGTCCCCTGTAGCCTGTATGTAGCCACCTCTAGTTTAGTTCTTGCAGTGTTCACTAGATGGCGGTACCGTCCCCTGTATGTAGCCACATCTCGTTTGGTTCTTGTAGTGTTTACTAGATGGTGGTACTTGTAGCTGATGATGAAAAGATGCAAGATGTTATAAACTAGAAAGCGGTACTTGTAGTGGATGAAAGACGCGAGATCCTATAAAATAGGAATGATGTCACATATGGCGCGTGTCATTGGTTGAAGGCAATCGTTCGATTTAGTGCGGCGACGTACGCTAGGGGGAGCGATGTAATAAAATCGAGTGGGCAAAATGTACGGAGGATTCATGGTTTACCAGGTTTACCTCCGGAGCTTCGCCCACTCATCATCATTCACTTCGTGGATATGGCGGAATTTTATTGCACCCCGATCGCTAAAGAACAAATTTAGTGTACATAAGTACGACGCAGAACGCGTCATTATTATTCATTTATTTTTTTGCGAAAATGGTGGTTCTCGCCGCGTTTAAGTATCAGTTGCGCTTACTACGGCGCCTCCGGCGGAAGACTTTGCGTTCTCGAGGGCAGGATTCCGCAGGACTTGATGGGAGGCCCTAAGTTTTTCTGTAGCAGCGGCGGAGTCGATTTTTTCACCCCCTTCGACGATGGCTGGGATTTGAGACTTTCCGATGCTTGGCACGGCCTGTTAATAGTTTCCGCCTTTCCGGCGAGTCCCTCCGGCCAACGCCTACTAGAAATACCTCTTCGTTCGCGACGGAGGCAGTGACGCCATCTGCTGGTGTATCTGGACACCAGAGCACGACATGCCGGACGCACATCACTCCCGAAAATACTTAGCGTTTCAGGGAACGAAGAGAGATAAAACCTGTGTTTTTTTGTATTCCTTACGTTTTTCTTTGCGACTAGAAGGTTGTTGGGCACGTAAACGCCGATTTTAGGAGATCACACACCTAGGGCAAAAATGTAGTTCGGTGCCTAACTTCGTGCGTTAATCTGTACGAATAAGCGATAGAGTAGAAGTGTTTGATGAAGAAACTCCCTCTACCAGTTTGTATAAAATATGGTGCGATTAAGAAAAAATAAAAACTATGGCTCCATTACAAAGCTTTTCTTTGCTTGTCTTTGCTCACTTACATAATTGCGAATACACAGCCACTTTCGCTAATGACGTATACGGTGTTGTAATTGCCTGCCCCGCCGTGGTGGTCAAGTGGCTCAGGTACTCCCGCAGGTCGCGGGTTCAAATCCCAGCTGTGGCTGCTGCATTTTCGATGGACGCGGAAAAGTTGTAGGCCCGGGTGCACGTTAAAGAGCCCCAGGTGGTCGAAATTTTCGGAGCCCTCCACTACGGCGTCTCTCATAATCATGTGGGGGTTTTGGGCCGTTAAACCCCACATATCAATCAATGTTGTAATTGCCTGACAGTCTTCGTAAACAGGCAGGCTGAAAGGAGGATATGCAGGAACAATGTCGCATGCGTGCCATTTCAAATATAAGTTACGTGTGTGTAGCTTCAAATGTTCGCAAACTAATACGTGAGCTCAAACTATAAGGGGGAAAATTCACTGAATATTTTCACGAGGCACCAAAAATGTTTCGGGGTGGCCCCGTGGGAGTATTTCCGGTGCGCGTGTGCTAAAGGCGGCGCCCGTAAAAAAAAAGTGCACGTTTGATATATCATCTGTCAATTTCGCCTTAATAAATATAGTTGACTGAAGCTATACTCAGTAAAATGTGCTAAGCTGAGGAGCACTACAACAGTTTCAGGAGACTCTTTGTACAATTCCTTCACTCCTCCGGTAATGTTTCCAGACACGTGGTCTGTACCCAAATTGCCTAAACATGACGAGTCGGGGTCAATTAGGAGTTGTTCGGCCAGCCTGGCGGCCTTCTCAACAAACACAAAACAAGATCATTTGAAAATCTTTGAAGGACTGCGAGAACAGAGGCGTTCGTTCATGTATCAACCTGAGTATTTTCGCAGTTAGTATAAATATTCATAGGCTCTTATCTGGCATACGTGAATTTTTTTGTAGAAGAATAAGTAATCAATGCTGGCAATAACAAACGCTTGTGCTCATTTTACTGCTGCGAACCCTTATTTGGGCTACCTTACGTTGATACTGCAGTATATATTTATTTATATTACCCAACCATGAGTAATTTCATATACTTTCATCTAATCCCCTTCTGATTTTTATAAGCCGGTGGATGCCCATTAAAGCTGTCCTGGACTTGTAGGATAAAATAACTATTTGGCTGATTGGTTTCCCTACGCCTAGGACTTGTAGAGATATAATAATTATTAGACTGATTGGCTGCCTTACAGATCGTCGTGAAGGCAGACAGAATAAAGCTTCGCGTTTTTTTTTCTTGTGTACATACAATATATGCTAAAGCACACGCGTCAACAAGTTAGTGAACCGAATTAAACGATGCGTTCTGTGACTGAGTGTCTTTTGTAGTTTCTTGTTAGTGCTGTGTAGGTGTAGGCGTACCAACTTGCTTAAAGTAATCATGTATTTAGCTTGGCTAGTTGGCGCCGACTGAATGCTTCCGTTATACTGGCGAAAGCGCACAGAAAGTCACATGACAACCACTAGAAAAGCGGCTGTCCTATGTGGTTGCTTAAAGCGCGCTCAACTTTCTTGCCCTCTCAGCAAATGGGCGAGAAAGGAGGCCGGAGGCGAACCGTGTCAGATATGCTGCGCTGTCTTCATGATCTTGCTGCTGCTGACGATACTGTACGTCTACCTGTCAAACCAGGGTGAGTGTCGATCCCGCTATTTCGCCAATAGTTGAGGAAACTGCAACCCACCAGATTGTAGCGAGAAGGAGTACGCAAAAAAAGAAGAAAGGGGGAAATTAATCCCTCTTTCCTGAAAACCACCCATAAGACGAAAG